TGGGACAAAGATGGAGATGTCACCCTATTTCTAGTTATAAGAGAGATGGAGCTGGCCTGCAGCTGTTCTTCCTTTAACTTCATTTCCCGGAAAATTATTTATGAAGATTCTTAAATATACATACCCTTATACTGATTGTTAAATCATGTTTTGCTTCAAGGTATGTCACATTAATATTACCATTTCCATTAATTTTTGTTTCTTTTGCTTTTTAAAATGTCTTTTTGAAAGGTCTCAAACCAAAATGCAAGAAAAATGCTAAGAAAGAACCTTCACTTTTTTTAATTTTACACAGAAATAAAATATTTATTGCTAAGCAGTTTAAGAAGAGTCTGTACAGAAATAGTATCACCAGGACTTTTCAGACATTTTTTAAGGGTGGAAGGAGAGGTTTGGGAGCATAGGGTGGTTTTTGTTGAGTTTCTTTTAAGTTTTCTTTTCTTATTTTTAACTGGCATACTGAAGCCATGAAAACCTTCTGGATAGCATTCTTCTCCTGTCACCATCCTCTTGCTCTACCTGCACAAGACATTGCCCTGCTCTTTTGCTAAGACAGTGAACACAAAACTAAGAGACCTATCCTACCATTGGGCACTTACCCACAGAAATAAAACCAAGAACATCATCTCCATTTACCACCAGGTGACAACTTTCGTAACAAGTTTAAAAGAGAAAAACTGAGTGAAGCAGATTAATTCATACTCAAACCTACTGAGTCTTCCTTGCACTTTACCCTTGCTGGTTCTTTCTTCATGTCAGATTTCCCCACCCCCACCCCTTTTATTTTTTAATATTTGGAACATCTGAAGCAATATGGAAAAGATGAATGGGAAAGGATTATTCACTCTCATACTACAAGATCTAAAGAGCATCAAATGAAATTATGATGTGGCAGATCCAAAACAAGCATAAGGAAGTACTTCTCCATATAGCACATAGTTAAACTGTGTAAGTCCCTGCTCCAGGATATTGGGATGCCAAAAGTATACTTGAGTTCAAAAGGTCAATGGCTAAATTCATGGAATAAAAATCAGTCAAAAATTATTAACTACAAGTATATCGTATCTGGCTTAGTCAGTTCTGCAGTAACAGATTGCAAGAATCTGGATGCATACACTGTTTGCTTTATCTGTTCCTATGCTCTTCCCTGGACATCAGTTGGTGGCCTGTCAGAAACATGATACCAGAAAAAATAGACCTTTCATCTGACCTAATTATGCCTCTTCTAGCTTAAGAACATAAAGAAAAGCTATAAAAATTAATGGGGAAGAAGTGATTTATAACATATATGCCACCTTTCTAAATACACAGGAGTAAGATAATTCAAGAGAGGTACCCTATGCCAATAACACCCAATTTACTTTTGTTAACAGAACGTCTACCATAACATTTTGAGAAACAATCCCTTGAAAATAACATGAACTGAACAAGTCTGAATTATATTGGAGAAAACAAAGTTCAAAAATCAGTATCAAGCCTCAGATGACTTAAGGCACGATGTTACAGATATTAGAAAATCTTTAACAGCACAATCAGCTCTTTAAATTACAGCCTATGCATATGATGAAAAAATTCACTTGTTTAGACCTGAGAAGTTGAGTCAAAAGATCAGCCCATGCAGCTTTGACATATAGTGTTCCTGGTGCTCACTGCAAAGGATCAGCCCAAAACACTGAACCAAACAGTATGCTAGGCATGGTCCACTACATCCGCGCATTAATTAGCTCAATATATTTCATAATTGGATTCCATATTATGACCTGCTAAAAGTGCCCTCTTTAGAAAGACTAAAATGTAAACCTTTAATTAGGTGGAGGGCTGACAAATCTCATGTCCTGGATTTATGTGACATCCTGTAACTCAGAAAGCAGTTTTACCTGAAAACAGGCTTGTTCAGAATACTTTCACGACAGAACTCGAATACACATATTCCATGTTAAGGTATAGGTGCATATGAAAGCCATTAGGAATTATTAAAAGAATGGTTTAAGTATTCATTTAGAGCACGGCAATATGCAGTAAGAATGGTTTCAGTGGATTCCCCCATACAACATCATGATTACTGTCATCTGATCATAACACAAGTGCGACTAACACAGCTGCCATGTCAGCTTCTCTTCAGGGGCTAGGTCTTAATCATAAATCAACTGAATGACTAATTCAACATTGTTAAAACCAGCAAGTAGCTGCTTGGAGCCATTCCAGTTTTTACATCTTTCAAAAGGTCAACACACCTACTCAAACACACAATAGTCCTATCTTTCACAGTGTTTTCTTCTTTCCTCGGATTGAAAAATAACACGTTAGCAGTTAAAACTAAGTGTGTTTTAAATAACAATTAAAATGTTCATTAATTCTGAAAGAGTGACCCAGTAAAACAAAGACAATTTTAGTTTTCCTCTCTACCCACAATCAAAAAGCCTCTCCTCTCCTTTGCTGTTTTAAACACTTTTATAGTTGCAAAAGTCTTAGGAAAGCATTTTACTGCTGTGTTTCCTGCATTAACCTCACTTTTGTTGTAGTAATATTATGAATTAAGTTCAGAAATAAACTTTTTCAAGTTGAATGACTAGTCTAAATGTGGCTTGCATTTCAAACATGAACCTCTACCCCTCAAAATAATAACAAAAATCACAAATTAAGTGACACCTAACAGTAAAATATATTCTAATCACTTACATCTGCTTGCACCACACAAATGACAAAAGCCTACCGTTAGCATCCTTCATAGAAAACGTTTATTCTGCTCTTAAATATAAAAGCTATGTTGCATAAACAGAGGATTTAAAGCTGTGTCAGAGTGGCTGAATGAAAGAAAATGGCAATCTTTCTGGCTCTAGTAGATGCCTTTCCCTATCACACAATGTTTCCCACTCATAAATACATGACAAATACTTCCTCAATCATTTTTTACGAGCAGGGATGCACAGGGGGTAGTCAATGGCTAGCTTGAGGGAAAATAGGAACAGCAGGAGGCAGAAACTGTACTGAAAATGGCTATGTGGTAAATTCTCTTCTGGAACATCACTCAGCTACCCAGGCTTTGATCTTTCAGCTACAATTACACTCACATCCATGAGATCTGGGTATACGTTTTAAAAACTAAATCATTAATTGTAATAGAAACAGTTAAACCATTACGTTACATGACTCCTCAACTCCAGCATCTGATTTTTTACAAATTAAAAATTGCAATTTATACGAAGATTTGCTTTCAATTGGGTTTAACTATGTCATCATCACAACTAGTCTCACAAAAAACATGGGGTGACTGGCGACAGCTAAATCACAGACTGGCGTCTCCTAAGTAGTCTGTCTACCATTAGGGTCTGGGGAATGGTATTTACTGTACAATTAGAGCCAGTGAGCTCTACCTGTAATCATCCAAATACAGGTGCGAGGATCCTTTTTTGGACAGGGAAACCAACTCATCCATTTTCACGTAAACCTCCACGTCTGTACTGTTACAGCAAACCTTAGGAAACCTCAACATTTGTGCTTAGAAAAAAATATCACCTGACAATAACAAATACTACTATCCTGATTTTAAAGACTTCCTTGGGTAGAACCACTTTTAATGTTTAAAGCGTCATAGCCAAGAGACATTCAAAGAAGGAACAAATTAATTTAAAATTATAAAGATTGGCCAAATACTAAAAGCTTGCATGATTATACTGGTTATCAAGCTTATTCCAAAGTCTGGGGTTTGGGCTGAGAGGGTTTGCTATTAAATAGGTTAAATTTTGTCCTTTAATACTAACACAAAATGTCTTGGAGTATCAAAAGGACAGTTTTAGTTGCAGTAATTTCATAGAATTTATTCTAATGATTTATTGGAGTTAACCATCTGACATTAATTATTGTTTTGGCTTCCGGTCTATGAATGTTTATTTTTCAGTTTAAAGCCTTCTCACTCTTTGATATCATATGGAAATGAGAATTTTTAATGGAAAATTGAAACCATGTGCATCTAAGTACTTAATGAAGTACAGGGAGAAACAGAGGGTGTACTTTAGGAGAATTCAGATATTCCGCTTTACATACTTTTGATTTGTTCGGATGAGTTACACGCATATATCTGTTCACAAATATACGTTTACACATCTTCAAAGTATCTCACAAGTTCAGTGTTTAAAGACCTGAATACTAAGAAAAGGTTTGTTGTTTGGTTATTTTTTTTTTAAACTAAATATACTGCTATAGATTTTTCTTCATCGTATCCTACTTGATCTGTTCCCTCCTCCACAAACCAAATATTCATCCCATCTAGAGCTTCCCACAACATGCTAAATGCTGCATTTCTCAACAGCAGATTCCCACCATACGTCTACCATGTTAGGACTGGTTCTTCATCCAGTCCACTGAATGTCTGATAGACTGATATTGTAACCATCATGTACTTAAGTCATAATATTGTCGTCAGGAATACTTGACTAAAGTATTGACTAAAGCCTGTGCTGTTCATGGCATTAAAGCCCATCAAAACAGGCCTGTGAACCGTAAGCAGAGCGCAAGCAGTGGCAAGGAAGCCAGGCACCCAACTGCAAACAGAAGAGTACTGTTAAACTGTGCAATTTTGCCACAGTTTGAAAGATTTCTGTACAACTTGCAGAGCTTTAATCCTCTGGCATTCAATTCATTCCTTTAGAATGAAAAAGATGTTGTTCAGACAATCAGCATTATATAACATGATAAAACCATGTGTTTATTTAAAACAGTACTTCTAAATCAAATCTATTTTCTGCACAGTAACGAATTCGTGTACCAGTGTAAGGAAGGAAAGCATATTCTTTTCTATTCCACACTTTCATTCAGGGTTTCACCATATGCACCGTACTCAAGCAGCATGTCAATGGTAGCATAACAAGTAACAAAAGTGCAGCATTAGTTTTTATTCCTCTTTTAATTAATATCCACAGTGATCTTAATATACAAGTAATTATTCACCATTGAAAAATGTGAAATAGAATCAGAAATTCAGATATTTAACCTAAACACACTCACCACTTATTTTTCTTTCTTATGTAGTCTTTTTCAGAGAGGTTAACCAAGTAGATCATCGGTTTTGAAGTGAAAAACAAATGTTTGTTCAAAACATCAATCTAGAAGTGAAAATACAGGAGGAGAATTTTTAAAACAAATTATACCAACTTGAGTAAATTTTATGACCATTTTCCTCATGGCATTTCTGAAAAGGCAGCAGAATTAAAAGTTTAATATATAGATCAGTGATAAACACAGAAATGGCCGATAAATTTAACATCTGATGCACTATGAATATGAAATCTTTAAAAAAACAGCTTTAAACACAGACAGTAACAGGTAGCAAAATTAGAAGTCAGTTCATGGGCTGATATTTATAGCCTACCTCTTTGTCATTCCAATCATGGTAGAAACGGACAGCTTTCTTTTCATCTATTACCCAGGTCTTGATTTTGCACATTACGTCCTACGCAAGATCATGAAAAAACAAAGTCAAAAACTCAGCTGGATATCAGACCATTCTCTTCCATAAACAAGGCGTGTATATATTAAGATTCAAAGTGTATACACAAATTAAAAATTATAAAATGCATTTTAAAAACAAATTTTTACTCTCCCAGGAAAATAGAAATTGCTGCTTTAGAAGTCACTAAAGAACAAGATTGATTATTAAAGCAATACACATACCATAATTAGGAAGTTAAACACACAATACTGAAGTATCATCCCTTGCCACCACGAAAATTAGCAGAGCTCCTAAAATATATGTAAAAAAACAGTGCATTTCGGATAGCTTTTCAAACTCAGTAAGACGCGACATTTCAGCATCCAGCGGGAGAGACCACGCACAATATAAACATGCCATTAAGGAAAGGGAATGGGTGGGAAAAAACATGGCAAATATCGGGTTTTTTTAAATTGTGAGCAAAAGAAATTGAGCCTATTATTGATGATCCACCCTTCAAGAAATTAATTCAAATGGCCAAAGCCCTTTTTATTCCGCATTAATTTTTCGCCAACACCTTCTCCCTCCCCCCCAAAATGAAACCTGCCAAAGCCTCCATTACACAATGGCAAGAGCCTTGCACTGGTGACCTCCAACCAGCTGCATTCACTTTCAGAACATCTCTCTCGGCAGGAAATCTAAAGGCCTTTTAGTTAGCAAGCTAGTGTGCATTCAGAAGGAGTAACTGCAGGAAGAGCCCAATGTGCTTTGTTTCTCTGGCCTTTCTTCACAGAAAGATTAATCATCTGTGAAATGGAAACGGCAAACAGCAAGTGACACAAACTGAACCCTTCAAGCCTTTCCTCATCAGTTTTGTGGTCGTGAATCCGAAAGCTGCGTGTGGCACGGTTCTCCTTACAGGCAGGTGTTAATAAAAGGCTCTTGGGTCTGAAAGGTCAAACTCGGCTCTTCTAGGAGTAGTACATTTTAGAGTCGCCTATTTTTTGTTGTAGATAATTTATGATCATGCTTTAAATAATGCATTTTTTAGGTTATAATTGATTCAAAAGAGAATTAATATCTTCAAAACACACAGAAACGTTCCCTAAACCATTGAGCACACATGTTTTGCACTTAATGCTATGCGGTTGAAGTACGTTTATAAACAATCACAAATAACATCAGTATTTACTACAGCCTTTCCTAGTCTTGCTTTAGTGAAAAAAACAAAAGAAAAAGCTCCTCTAAATCTTCAGATCCTGATTTGAAACCCTCCAGGAACAGGACTCCCCACAGATTTTAACAAGGAAGGGGCAAGCTAAAACTTTTAATGAAATCTAACATGTTCTGCCTAAGAATAATCACTTTTACTCTCCTATAACTGAATTTCACTCATAAATGTTTAAAAGTGGCTAATATAACACCATTTCCTACAAGGAGAAGATCAAAGTGCTATATTACAAATGCATTATGATTAAAAAAGCACTGTGCAGCTTTGCTATTAACTGTTCTTTAAACCCTAAAAGGCTTCCCATAGATCTCACTTGGCACTGCATATACAACCTTTGACAAGTAATGTAGACCATTTTTATTCATTGCCTAAAATTGTAGGCAATTATGTGCGTCACACTGGCCACCTGCAAATTCTGAATGCCTGCTCCAGTTGTCAGAGCAAAAAACTAATGTCGGAGGGGATTAATCTAGGGGGAGAGAGTCCTCTTTAATGGCTCCAGCAGGTGAAATGGCCCAGCTGGTTACTGTGATGAGTGGCCAGAACAGCTTATGTAGAGACATGCAACAAGATTACACATAAAGAAGAAAACAGTGGTACCATCTTGTCTTTAACCCTCTGCGCTTTTTATTTTTTAATTGATCGGTATAAACAAGATAAGGGAAGCAATTCTATCGATAAGTATTTCTCATTTAAGATCTTCATCCTCAGCTTTTGTTTAAATAGATATGTTAAAACCAACACAACCTCCAAGATTCCTGTTCAGCAGTGAAGGAATTCCGACTACACACTATCCGGGGTGATAAACTAATTCTGCAGGCACCTACCACGTGTCTTTCAGCATGACAGCTACCCCCTAAACAGCAACACATTACTGCATCTAAATTGGAGATGATAAAAAAAACAGACTGAGAAAAACCTTATAGCACAAGTTATCGACACCAATCTTACAGGCTTAAGCAGCAATGAAATGATTTTTAATCACGCTGCAAGGGTAGCTACAGAATGCAGAACCGCCGGAAAATTTCAAGCGTCAATGCAGCACAAAGTTGGCTCTTTCTATAGCCCACCTAAGCACACGCTTGCCAATCACTTCTTGTCCGCATTCACCTGCTACCTACAGTGACACTTCTAAACCCCTTTTGGCACAGACCTAAGTTTTCAGAGTTCTCATCTGGGTACCTGACTCGATGCTGTTTGCAAGTGTTGTTCTCCAGGAGTAATTACATGGCTAGCTTCCACAGGGAAGGCTGACCAACAACTGAATGTGCCAGGGAGAATTGACAGCCATATATTTGCAGTTTTGCTTTGGAGGTACACAGAAGCTAGCAAAGTACTGGAAAACTTACTTTGGGTAGAAGGACAGAAACTTATAAGCAAATATAGCGTTTATATCTGAAGCTGGCGAGGCAGTAAGACACAAAGAAAAAATTTGAAAATAATTATTCAAAGGCAGATTTTCTCTGATGGACTATCTGGGCAGCTGAGCACACAGAACATAAGGCAGACAGTCCAGAAATGAAAAAAAAAAAAAGAAAAAGGACAGATGAACTCAAGATTCCTCTGCAACAATGGTAGTGTCCCATTTAACTGAGAACCCTCAACAAGTAATCATTAAATACTAACAACAATATGAAGAAAGGCAACTATTTCCAGATATTTCTTTTTTCACTCAGCTGCCCCATACTCTAAGCACACAAAAAGGAAAAAGCACATTTTCAGGTTACACCTCATGTGTCACCATTTTTAGTTTTATTAATTGCTCCTGTTTAGGCCTGGTGAAAGAGTATGAACTGACCTTTTTATCTTCACTATCATTGTAAGAGTCATTTAAATACATTTAATCATTACTCTAGTTAACACAGAGATGCTTAATAACAGAATACGGAGCAATGATCCACTTTGTTTCATTAGAGCTGGCCTCCCCAGTTGCACACTTCGAGGTCAATCTGTCACAGGCAGAATGATCCACTTCTTGGTTGAGGAGAGGGGTATTCTCTTGTTGTTTTTCAGCTAGCACCATTATAGTGAGCACCATTTAAAAAGCACCAAAACCCACCTCAAAATCCAGTTTACTTACAGTTGTCAAGGCATATGAAATAGAGCAAACTTCATGAATATGGAATATATCTGACTATATCCTTGGCAATATATATCTCTAGCACAGGTGAAAACTCGGTGTACTCGGCCATGGGCAATACAATGATTTTAATTTACATCCTGCTCTCATTTTCCAAAGACAGTAAGCAGTCAGCACACAAATGCTAAGCAGGACATTTAACAATGAGTCCCAACAGTATAAGATACTATAGAAAAATACATTTAAATTGCATTTAGGAGCTGTATCAAGACATGCTCATGAGACACTACTGTGTAGAAAAACGTGCAGACATTAATAAACTCTCTGGATGGATGACAGTAATAATGTGTGCCCATGCCAAATTCTTCTTACAGCATGAGGGACTAAACTGAAGCTTGGAAAACTCACTTGCCTACTTGGCATCCAAGAATTGTGAGTTTTTTGTTGTAAATTAGCAGGGCATGTAATTAACTTCCGCAAATTTAATAAAGAAGTAAGCAGTTGTGAGGATTAGCACTTCACACTTCAAAGTGCAAGTGAATTCTCTGTGATTCTGCAGGCAGTGCAAAACACTCTGGTACCACAGAGAGTAACTGCGAGTACAAGTAGGCTTTTTTTTCTTTCTTCCACCAAGGGAAATGTTTCTGGGAAGCACAGAGTGTTTCTGAGCACCTTATTCATTCCCTTCAAAACTTCCAAGATGTAATAACTGACCAGCTCCCTGTAAACACTTCCAAATCAGTTACATACTTTTCACTAAAATGTTTTGGTTGTCCAAAATTCTACCATTTTCACGACTCTGCTCCTCAGAAAAGCTGTAAGGAGTACCTGTAAGTACATCACCCTGCAGCTCTTAGTTAATGCCTCGTTTCGCACAGTAGTCCCACAGCATCGCATATCAATAATGAAGGTAGTAGCACAGAATTAATATATTCCGACTTACACAAGGAATCTGGCTCAGTGATGTAAGGTGTTTAATTCAGAAAACACTGCATACACTAAATGGAGTCAACACCACCCAACCAGTAGGTCTCAGTGTTAACTGTAACTAGAAGATGCAGTGAGTGTGTTTCTGGTGGCACTCCAAACGAACTATTTGTATTTTGCTAGTCATCATCTTTCAACAGCCTAAAAAAAGACCATGTTAATGACACCGATTCTGAGAGTAGTAAATTACTAACAACACGAATCATGTGCGTAGTAACCAGAACTGCTACAACAGATTTTGTGAAAGCAAACAACGTTTTTCAATAGAATAAATTCAAGTTCATACGCTTGCTGGGTGGGGGAGAAGAGAGGGTGGACACAGCATTTACAGGTAGAAGACTGCCCTTGCCAAAGTGACTGAGAAGACTTGAGGGTGGCAAGAAATTAACTGTACTGTAACTCATAATATAATCTTTGAGTATATAAATAGGCTCATGTCCAGTGTGAATAATTCTACATTCATGGCTGCTGAAATACTGAAAAGATGAAGAAAAATAAGTTTTGAAAAAGTGCTTATACACAAAGAGTCAGTCTGTGCTTAAATCTTATCGTTTCATTCTTACTGCATTTCATATATAGAATTAACAAAAAACTCACATAGTACAGGGGTTTTCACACTAGCATACAGAAACCAAAAGGCTCAAAGTTGAAGCTTGACAAATACAGACTAAAGCTGCGTCTTATTTCTAAACAGTAAAAGATAATCACTGGCACAGCTTATGC